TATTGCACATCCACTGTGCGCGGAAATATATCAAAACAGCCACCCTAGAGACACCTCTAAGGATGCCAAGATGTACTCAAGCCAGGGTGCCAGCAGATCGAAAGACGACAATAATCCAGCAGGTAGTGCACCTCAAACATCCGGGGAGACATATCAATATGGTCACCCTAGAGATGTATCTAAGGATGCCAAGATGTCTTCAAGCCAGTGGCCTAGCAGATCGAAGGAAGAGACTAATCCAGCAGCTAGGGCACCTCAACCGTGCGGGGAGACATATCAATACGGCTACACTAAATACGCCTACAAGGCTGCTAAGAAGTCTTCAAGCCAGTGGGCTAGCGGACCGAAAGACGAGACGGTCTGCTTGAAGGATGCCAGAAAGTCTGAAAGACAGGGAATTGGCAGATGGGTAAGGGAGGCTATTCCGGCATCCAGCGCACATATCCAGACAGAAATTTCGAATGGCATTCGCCGCAGTGGGGACGTTGCTCTGCACGACAACCGACAGGCCATGCTCGGAGCAACATGTCCCATCTGCTCTCGAAGAGTAGAAACACCACTGCAAATGACGGCGTACTATTCAAAACCAGTGTGCAATGAGTGCAGGAGGTCGGCAGAAAGGCTGGATAACCACGGCAGTCAAGAGGTCGCAGACCCAAGATATCCCTTGTGCCCTAGAAGAATAGAAAGGCCACCGCAGAGGACGGAAGTTGCTTTGCAAAATAACCAACAGGAGGTGGAGGCAGTACGTCCTACGCACCGCGAACGGATAACTTTTACGAACTGCGGTGTTACTTTTTTACTTGGATTGCCGAGACGGTTCGTTAACTGGCTATATACGAAACTTACTTGTCACTAACTTCTATTTTTTCACAGAAAAACTGTCCGGAATATTTCTTGGCTTGAAATTCTTTCAACTGTCATGCATACAGGGGATGATCTACTGTACATTCTGCATTACTATCCTATTACTATTCTTTTGTTTTTCGTTTCCCTTCCTTAAAAAAGCTTTAATTTGAACCAAACGTCATTGAGTTGTAATGCAGCGATTATCTGAAATTGGCTTTTTTTTAACGAAAATTAATTATTTTGATAAAAAATGTAGTACTCTATGGACAGGCGTTTTTCTTACTACTCTAAGAATTAGGGCGATGCAGCGATGGCTACTGTTGCACGACAGGGGTTGTCTCGCATATACCTCATGACATTTCTTGAGATACAGAATCGACTGTACAATCTGTCGTGTGCTGGTGGCCAACTGGCGGTCTGCGAGTCAGACTGCGGTGGCTCCTTTGTAATGTGGCATCCGTGGCACTGCGACGGATTTAAGATCCTAGCTACCCATCCCATTTGTTGGGCTGGTGCTCGGCATACGGAAAAGAGACTGATGTCGACTGTGAGAGTCACTGTCCCATAGCGCTCCAGCGCATTTCTCGCTATAATAAGTCGAGTGACGCGATAACTCGATCCTACTAACAGGACAGAGAGTAAGAGTGGAGTCATTCTGGCCTCTATGCCACTACCACTCAGATGGGATCTGATCCGGCTTCTGT